GGGGGGAAGATATCGGCGCTTGATATGGACACATCACAGATTTCAGCCATTTGAGAGGAGCTGGGTGTAGTGACTTTAGTTCCCTTTAAATCATCTTGGGGACTCTATTGCTGAGACAAGCCTTTATTAGAAGTCTTGGATACACCACCCGGGACATCTCGCTCCTGGGAACAGGGATGGTGGAAGCCCCTTTCATGAACACAGCAGGTGTAAAAACCTGGCAATTCCCTCATAATGAGCACAGGAGATGTGTAGACCCAGGAACACGTTGCAGGGATGGTTGGAGCCCCACATAATGGACATAGCTGGTGTTACGGGGTTGAGACAAAACCTAAAACACTGCTGGGAGCGCTTGCAATGCTCAGATTTTATTTTCTTAATTAAACCATTTTTCTGAAGGGGGAAAAAAAGTGAGAAAAAAATGTTGCTGTAACTACTTATAAATTGTTAGTTGGACTTTTTAATCTGTTGTCTTTCTTAGAGACATTCAAAACTACGTGTTTATTGAAAACTATGCTGCAGTGATTTCACCTGCAGAACAAACCGGTTTGTCACTGTGGGAAGTAGGGGGGGGGAGTGGATCTACTGACAGGATTAACTGGTGATAAGGCTATATCGCAGGGGGTACAGACAAACAAAATCTGCTGTGTTTGATGCTATTGACAGACTGCAACATATGGCCATTTTTATTCTGCCCAGGGTTCCACTTTAAGAAACACTGCTTGTATTGTCTTCCATTAGTTTTATGGTGGGAGAGCATATTCCGGTTATAGAATATGTCATTAGGTCAGAATGTGAGACTTTGAGACTAGTTTTATGGTGGAAGCGCATATTTCCGATCATAGGACATGTCATTAGGTCAGAATGTGAGACTTTGAAACTAGTATTATGATGGAAGCGCATATTCATGTTGGATTATGTCACCTTTTTTGCTGTTAACATTTATGATTCCATTTTATTACTATCGATGTAAACCATATTGTAATTTAATTTTATTGGCTGATTAGGAGAAAAACCTCTTGTGTGTTTTCTGCTGAAGAGTTCAATGGTTTAATGCTTATAAAGTGCACAATTTGTATTCAACTTAACCCCCCTAAAATGATGTGACTGGAACTGAATAGGTCACAGATAGCAAAAAAAAGAAATGTGCTTTAACACTTGCCTACTCTAGCCAAGATTTGGCTTTAGATGTGTTCATTCCTCTGTCCTGGCTCTTTCAGGACAGCGGGTCTGCGGGATGGATGGGGAACAGGATCGGATCAGATGCAAGAGGGTGTCGGCAGATACATGCCTGATTGGGTCTGCCTGTCTGTTTTTTCTTTTTTTTTTTTTAACCACTTGAGCCCCAGAGGATTTACCCCCCTTAATGACCAGGCCTTTTTTTGCTGTTTGGCGCTGCACTAATTCAAATGATAATTGCGCGGTCATGCAATGCTGTACCCAAACAAAATTTACGTCCTTTTTTTCACACAAATAGAGCTTTCTTTTGGTGGTATTTGATCACCTGTGCGCTTTTTATTTTTTGCGCTATAAACAAAAAAAACCACAAAAATTTTGAAAAAAAAACAATATTTTCTACTTTCAGCTATAAAAAATATATCATAAACTCAAAGTTAGTCATAAATTTAAGCCAAAATGTATTCTGCTACATGTTTTTGGTAAAAAAAAAATCCCAATAAGTGTATATTGATTGCTTTGTGTGAAAGTTATAGCGTCTACAAACTATGGTATAGATACTGTAATTTATGCCTTTTTTTGCTATACAGCACTGCACTAATTCAAATGATAATTGCGCGGTCATGCAATGCTGCACCCAAACGAAAATTACGTCCTTTTTTTCACACAAATAGAGCTTTCTTTTGGTGGTATTTGTTCACCTGTGCGCTTTTTATTTTTTGCGCTATAAACAAAAAAAACCACAAAAATTTTGAAAAAAAAAAAACAATATTTTCTACTTTCAGCTATAAAAAATATATCGTAAACTCAAAGTTAGTCATAAATTTAAGCCAAAATGTATTCTGCTACATGTTTTTGGTAAAAAAAAAATCCCGTGCATTAGCGGGCAAACTGGCGCTATCTAGGAGGGGCGCTAACACTATCGGAAGTCACCAGTGACACTAATACAGTGATCAGTAAAAATCTGTTCACTGTAATCAATGACACTGGTGACAGGGCAGTGAAGGGGTTAACTGGGGGGGGTGGGGTTAAATGGGGGTGCACTAAAACTGGCGCTATCTGGGGGGGAAGTCGGGGACACTGCGTGATCAGTCAAGGGGGTGACAGGGCAGTGAAATGGGGGGGGGGGGAAGATTAAGGGGTTAAATGGGATTACTGGTGTACTAGCGGGCAATCTGGCGCTATCTGGGAGGGGCGCTAACACTATCGGAAGTCGCCAGCGACACTGATACAGCGATCAGTAAAAATTGGTTCACTGATCAGTGACACTGGTGACAGGGCAGTGAAGGGGTTAACTGGAGGGGGGGGGGGGGGCGATCAAGGGGTTAAACGGGATTACTGGTGTACTGGTGGGCAAACTGGCGCTATCTGGGAGGGGCGATAACTCTATCGGAAGTCGCCAGTGACACTGATCAGTAAAAATCGCTTCACTGATCAGTAAAACTGGTGACAGGGCAGTGAAGGGTTAACTGGAGGGGGGGGGGGGCGATCAGGGGGTTAAATGTGTCCTAGAGTGTTCTAACTGTAGTGTAGTGCTTGTGTACTCACTTTTTGGATGTCTTCTTCTCTGTCTGGAACGGAATGTGTCCAGGCAGAGAAGAATGACATCATATCCTGCCCTGTGTGTATGTCAACACAGGACAGGATAGGACAGGGACCGATCATGTGATTTCAGCCAGAATCACTGGCCGAAATCTAATGATTGATCCCTCCTGGATCAAATAGTGTCACCCGCGGGTCGGCGGGAGCGCGCGCGCGCCCCTGCCGGCGAAAGTGTCGGGAGCGCGGAACCCGTTTTTAAACGTGGTTTTGCGCTCCACTGCCGCCCTGCACACGTATATACACAGTGGCAGGGCGGCAAGCGGTTAAGGGGACCAGACTGGACAGTTAGTGTGAAAGGGGGCATATGGATACATAGATATATTATTATTATACAGGATTTATATAGCGCCAACAGTTTGCTCTGTGCTTTAATATAATATAATATATATTCTTAATAATATTTTTTTTTTTTTTAAGCTGATATTTAATCTGCTACTGTTTGTTTCCCCTGGTAAATCACACACACACACGCACACACGCACACACACACTTTTAAAATGACACCTTTCCATTTTCATTACAAACTTATTTTAGACTGAATGACATTATCAGTGGGTCTCTGTTCTTTTCTATGCAGTGCTGGTAGATCATGGCTGATGGGAGGGTGCTACACATAGCTTTCTGAAAACATCACCACTCCCTTCCTCAGTTCTGTTCTCAAGAGTCCTCAACCCTGATGAAAGCAGTGGGCTGGCTCTTGGGAGGAGTTATACAAATATCAAAATGCCTTGATGGGGAGATATCAGTCTGGAGCAGTGTTTCTCAATTCCAGTCCTCATGGACCCCCAACAGGTCATGTTTTCAGGATTTCCATTATTTTGCACAGGTGATTTGATCAGTTTCACTGCCTTAGTAATTACCACAGCTGTTTCATCTGAGGGAAATCCTGAAAACATGACCTGTTGGGGGTCCATGAGGACTGGAGTTGAGAAACACTGGTCTGGAGGAACATGTGTTCCTAAGTAGACTGTATCGGCATTCAGACTGCCCACATGCTGCTGAGCATCCATGACTGAAAGCACTGAAATCCAATGAATGAAAGGGGCGAGCTTAGGACAGACAGGCTGGGGAGGAAAGAGCTAGATAATGATGGGTATCCTACAGCCAAGAAGTCAGCTGGGCTGTAATGTACATTGTGAGAGGCTCAGAGTGTGCAGTAGGCAATTTCAGTACATTTCAGGATCCTGTACAACCCCAAGTCTGAAGGGAAGGCTGGAGTTCAGATGTAGCAACTTCATTTCAAATGTCATAATCGGACAAGAACTGATCAGCAGAATTGTTACATGACAATAGAATATTTTACCATTGGTCATACCTGAGTTAGAAGTGTGCTGGATGCAGAAGTATTTTATGTACTCCGAATGCATCTGATTCCCCCCCACAACTTATCACTGAGCATTTCTAAGTGGCTGTCTCCCCCCCCCTCACTTCCTAAGCCCTGCCCTGCTCTGCCAGTTGGTTAATCAGCCCTGAGCGCCTTTTCCTCGTTAATGCCTTGGACTTTTCTTGCATATTTAAGCTGCTGATTATGAAAGCCATGTGATCCCGTCCCCCTGGCAGCGCAGTGTGTTTGGGTATGCCCTTTTCTGCCAGCTCGGCAGAATCTTCTCCGAGGTCAGAGCCTGTACAGGAGTGGCAGTTAGGACCCAGATGGTTGGCTGTGCTTTAGCTGAAACAGAGCGTGCCCTGTTAAATGTTTCCCCTTCCAGCAGATGTGTGCAGAGACAAGAGAGCACTTCTCAGAACGTCAGCAGACTTACTTCTCCCAGTGCACAGCTGACTGCAACTCTTCAATAAACCAAAGCTTTTCTTTTAACCGTGTGTTTTTGTTGAGGAACGACAACATTTTGCTCCAGGACTGCAAATGCCTTCAGTTGATTTTTTCCTCTGCTTTTAACGGATGTGGTTCCTGCGCCCATACCCCACCGTTTACTCTGTGATCAGCTGTTTCCTTAGCTGTACAGATGCTAAAATTCTGCCTTTCAAGTGGTGCGTAAGATTTTATTGCTGAATTTTTCTAGATCACGATAGAATTGTATTGAGGGATTCATATTGCTGTGTGTGTGACCACTCTAGGATCTTTTTAGAGGAAAGTTTTTCAATTTTTTTTGGATTTGGTAGGAAATGTCTACAGATGGAATAAAAGCTTTTTCAACATTTTTTACAGTTTTTTTTGGAGTACTCGTGAAAATTGATGCTCGATTTTAACCCAACACTAATTTTTAAAAGAAATACACCCTGAGAAAAATGATTGGTCTTGGGGAGACTGGGACTATACTCAACACTGTGAGTGTCAAAGACTTATCCATATTTCTTCGCTTTCCATTTCCTAGATAGCCACTGATATATGTGATACCTTATGACAATTAAATTGTTAAAACAAGCCCCCCAATCCCTTGTTTTTAGACATAACACCATTTGAAGTCTTGCGCATTGGGGCTGAATTACTAAAACTGGAGAGTACAAAATCTGGTGCAGCTCTGCATAGAAACCAATCCGCTTCCAGGTTTTTTTGTCAAAGTTCAATTGTACGCTGATATCATGCTCAGCTGCATCTAACTGCTCTTCCGTTTTTAGTAAATCAACCCCATAGTGGGTCCCCCCCACTGTAGTCTTGTTCCACTGTATGTTATGCTTTTAATATGGTTTCACTTGGAAAAGACTTAAAATATATTCATGTTTTGTTATTTATATCTTTTTTGGGACACCTTTTTTGTTTCTAGTACGGTGCATTGAAAAGTCACCCTTCCCAGTGTCCAGAAAAATTCACCATTCATAGGATGTACAGTGGTGCATGAAACATGAACTACCTTTATGGAGAGTTGTTAAAATAGTGGAAATGAGGTTTGCGTTCTCCCTCTCCAGTGCTCTGAGGATATTTGATGAGTATTGGCTACATCTGTCATCACAAGTGTCCTCACAGAGAGGAAAAGAAGTGTCTGACCAGGTCTGTTTAAGCACTCTGACCACTGCATTCTGTATGCCAAGTCTGGGGCCTGTTGGGACTGCTTCATATTTGTAGACAATCTCCACTTTAAAGTAGCGTCCAATGTCTGGCTATTATTGTGACTTCAGTTGGGCCTAAAACTACCCTTTTACCAATGTTATCCTGCTGTATCCTTGCTGAGCTTCCATCCAGAAACATCCCCGATCGCGCGCGTGCGTGCGTGCGTGTTTGGCGTGTGTGTGTGACATTTTTGCGCTGAAGCGTTTTGAGTCAAAAAGATCATGGATTGTACAAGGTGTTGCACGATAAAATTGCTACGTATTGTTGTTCTGTGAATTATAGAAATGTAATGGGTTGAATTGTTTACTTTTAGTATTAGGTGTTATCAAGCCATTTCTTATGCTTGATCTAAAAAAAAAAAAAAAAAAAAAAAAACCTCCCTTGCGGAAGTAGTGCTGCAAGAACATGAATTGAAGTGGATAAAAATAGCAATGAGTGTGACCAGAATCGTAATTGAATGTTGTATCTACAGACCAGCGATCTGCTGCTGGAACCTGTGAATCACAGGCCAATTTACTAAACACTTTGGTGTAAAGTATAAACCACTAAATGTCACAATAATCATGTAATATATTAATGTATTTACTGGGTACTAGGGTCTAACGTTGTGTCACCAAATACTGATAAGCTATCAGATCTTTCTAGTAATGGATAAATTAGTAACCTTTATTGCACACAGGTGTATATATAAGCTGGGTGATGCATGTTCACAGTCCTTTCCCTGAGGTGTACTGCATGCCACCAGAATGTTCCCTTGTCACCTGTGCCTTGGTAATCTATTCTATTTTTTGCGTTGTGTTGCCTTTGTTTTCGTGCGTGTGTGTGTGTGTGTGTGTGTGTGAGTTTTTTTTTTTTTTTTTTTTGCTGCAAGCTATCTACTAAAAACTGTTGTTTTTTTTTTATTTCAGATCTTGCCCGTGGCGCTGCCTGTGCAAGCAGCAAAACGTCTGATACAGAGGGGCCCCCACATCCCATGAGCACACAAAATCGAGAGAAGGAGGGGAGCCCTGCCTGTCCGGAGTCTGTCCTGAGGCTGCGTAAAGGACACATGCCAGTCACCTCCGAGGGCACGGACTCACAACATGACCAGTATGACGATACGTGTGTCCTCCTGGCTGGCCCACCTCCATCTGCTGCCGAGGACAATGTAAGCTCATTTCTTTCTGAAAGGGGAGTGGGGTGTTGTGTTATAGAGATCAGGTTTTTCATATGTGGCACTTGTTTTGCTACACTTTGCTAAAACTTTTTTTCGGGGGGAGGGGGGGGATGACCAATACGCCCTTCTTTTTTTTTTTTTTTTTTTTTTTTTTTTTTTTTTCCTTCCAAGAAACAATGATAGACCAACTTTATTTATTTAGTTGTATGAAAAAGTATGACCAGACAATAGGAGATGCATTTTTGTTGGTCTCTTTTCTGTACATCCACTCCTCCAATAAAACCCCACAGCTTTTATCTTTTTATTTTGTAAAAATAACATGCATTTATATTCTCTGCAAAATAGGGCTGAAAGAGAAAGTGTAGCTGAATACAAGTGTGCTGTGTTTTTTGTTTTGAGTTTTTTTTTTTTTCTTTTTGACTTTGACTGACCTTTTTTTCATATGACACTTTGCTGTCCTTTCAAAAAGATCACATGACAGTGAGCTGATCCATTGTTTGCCAAGCCAGAACTGGGAAGGAGGGAGGGACCATGTATGGGTCATATGAGATAATTAGTGCTCTGCATTCTTGCTGTTATGAATCAACCCAGTTGTGGGACACTCCATAAAATGACATATTGGTGGTCGTTGAGGACAGAAAGTATAACAGGCTTGAATGGCTATTAATAAGTGACACACTGTTCATGAGCCATAGGTGCATGCTTTGAAGTGCACGCACAAAATGGCCAGGTAGATGTATGTTGTGCCAAATATATGGTGGTTTTTTTTCTATGGCTAAACCTAAGTACTGTATAGCCGTTGACCAATTTTATAGATTGAGCAGTTAAAGTTTTAATGGGTTTTTTTGGCAACTTCGGATCTATTGTGAGCAATCTTGTAATAGTTATGACTTTGTGGAAATGACACTAGAGTCTTGAACCGCTGACAGTCTTATAGCAAAACATGCGCAGGCTTATTGAAGGTAAACCTGTCATGACAGAAGTGTGGGAGTTTTTTTTTTTTTGTTAATAAGGTTCATGGCTGTCATACACATTCTATGGCCTCTTTACCTATTTAGTCACTGACCTAGAAAAAAAACTTACAACTAGGGAAAGCCCGAAGTCCTTGCCTATATGCCTGTTGTAGGCCTGTTAAGCAGTGAAGCTGTAAGGCTTGGTTCACACCAGTGCAGTTTGCATTTTGTCCGTTTTTTTGCGGTGCATTTTTGTGTTTTTTGTATTTCAATGTTTTTGTTAATTTATAACCCTTTTAAACAGGAGCGACAAAAGACTCCCATGCAGGAGATATCAATTGCATATAAAAATGTTGCGCTTTTGATACGTTTTTTTTTTTTTTTTCTGGCCAAATTGTTGCTGGGCAGATTAAAAAAACTTATCAAAAAAGTCTGAAAAAGCATCAAAATTGTACTACATGCGTTTTCTTCAGCTTCCCCATTGAAGTCTATAGAACCAAACCTGTTGCTTTTTATTAAAAAAAAAAAAAAAAAAAAAAATCCCTGACCGTTTCCAAAAACGCAGCGACTCAAAATTGCATAGATGTGAACGTGTCCCATAGGAAACAATGTTAAATGGACTGTAGAGCATTTTTCTACAAAAAGCACTAAAAATACAATGGTGTGAACCAGGGCTAAGTTGATTATGTTGGTCAGGTAAGTAGATCCTTAAAAAAAACAAAAACCAGCACTGGCAAATTCTAGATTTTTGACAACTGTTTTTACTTTAATAGGCAGAGCTGTGAATGACTCCTCTCAGCCAGCCAGTCGAAGTGATTTGGTTTTTGTATGCTCAGACTAATGAAAGCTGCTTTTTGATTGGCTACGTCACACAAGTCCACATTACACTTTTTTATGCAGTGCAGAAAATGCCAATGTACTGGCAACAAAAGAGGGAATTTTATTGTCCAGTAACTTTCCCAAGCTGTTGCCAGCATTTACTGTGCTGGGCTCGGAGATGGAATGCACTTCTGAGAAAGTACTCAGTTTTTATAATCATGTGAACTTTGTGTCCCCTGTGTAGGACAAAGTGTAGAGCAGGGACTGGTTGGACTAGATATGAATTTATGTTGCTGCTGCTTATCTGTCACTTCTTGCTGTGTTGGACAAACTGTACTTCCTGTTGTCTTTTGGTCACATTCCCAGAAGTTGGGTGCGTTCTGTCTTACACTCCACCTCTCCAGCATGTCACTGCTGGGCGTCCTGAACCAAAGCTTGAGCTGTCTTTCGGCACAATGTATTAGGCAGGTGCACATTAGTATAGAAACGATTTCCGATACCATATTTACAAGAGACCAGAACAGTGATAACTGGTAATTCAGGTTATCTGTGAGCAAAATAAGAATTACCAATGATGACATGATCTTTTAGCATTAACAAAGCAGTTTTGTTTTGTCTCTCCCGTAGCATAGTTTTATGAAATGTCGCTCCTGTCAGTAGATCCGGTTGATGCTGTTCAGCAAAAGTGGCTCAACAGGGGTTGGGACAAACCATATAACATGGCTGGGGGTGCTTACAGTAGTCCACTTTTACACATCTGGTTTAAATTGAATTTTTTTTTTTTTCAAAAACATTAGCTGTGTTTAGGCTTTGTTTACTTGGAGCTTTTTTTTAACACCAGATGACTTGGGGCTATGCTGGCAGCTATGTTCTGCACAGCCCAATACGTAGACAAGGCAAATGTCTTCTTTTCAGTGGTGATAGTTCACAACACAGCTTCGCTACGTTGCACCGTGAAAAAAAAAAAGACCGCAAGCAGAACTTTTCAACTTCAAGCAGCGCCGTTTTTAACGTTACTGCTGTGAATAGAACTGTATTGAAATATCACTTTTGACAAATAAAAAGGAAAAAACAAACAAAAAAAAAACCTGTTCAGTGCGGTGAGGTCAGCAGCTCGACAATGTGTATACCAGTGCCCATGCTATCAGGACAGTTTGCTGTTGTGAAAAAGCCCTTAAAGTCAATATAAAGCAGACATTGTAGAATTATACATTCAAATTACTTGGGCCTCTCCTACTTCACAAATCAGCTCTTCAGAGGCAGGACATGGCTATGGCTGGGTCTGAGCTTGGGGTTCTCCTCCAATTAGCAGGAAGAATGAGCTTAACTAAATGCAGAACTGAAACATTTTGCAGAGAGACTACTGCTTTACTGCTTCCACAAATACACCAAGGATCTTTGTTTTCTTGCAGCACGTTGTAGATGAAGTGTAAATAATTTCACACACTTTCCTTTTTTTTTTTTTTTTTTTTTTTTTTTTTTTTTTTTCTTTCTTGCTTCTGCACTGTATTTAGCAATGTTATGAATATGGAAGCTGATCTCCATCTTTTAGCGAAGTTTAAAATTGGTTATTAAATCCAAAGTTTTTTTTATATATGCATTCTCCAATACCTGTTCCTACCCCCACCCACATCTCTAAATGCTTACCTGAGTGATCTCTCTTCCTAGTCTCACAAATGACGGAGATTGGCAGGTGCCATTGGCTCCTGCTGCTGTCAGTCAAATCCTGCGAGGAGGGAGTGGGGGCAGCATGGCTGTGGATGCAAAGCCTGGTAAATCATGCTCATGCTGGTAAAACAGACTTTGATCTGCATTTTTAGCCAATGGCTGCAGCACTGATCAGTGTGTTCTGATGAGGGGGTAGTCCCAGCTGTCAGAATACAATAGGTCAGCGGCAGAGCTCCCTTCATCCACATTGATTGTGCAGGGATCTTTTTCAGTTAAATGCTGGTTGAATGAAAAAAAACCATGTACCCTGCTTTTAGGCTGGCCATACATATGTTTTTTTGTTTTTTTTTCTTGGGGTTGAACAACTTCTGTTCAAGCACAGTGGCCACCCATGAATTGAAACTTGGCTGGTCCCTGCTAAACTAGACTAATTTTGATACATGGATTCCAGCTTTATGTTTGTAAGATCACCTTAAAGCAGAACTTCACCCAAAAGGGAAGTTCTGCTTGTGTCCCTCTCCCCCCCCATCCCCTCCTCTTTTTTAACATTCAAAACTTTTTTTGGGGGGCACCTGGTTTGGGAGGTACCCACTTCAACTTGGTTCATCCCTCCCACCCACCCCTTCACCTGCAGCCTTCTAGGACACATCACAGGTCTCAGACCACGGAGCCATTCACAAAGCACAGCGTGGCTTGTGCTTGCACAGTGTGAAGCCGCAAGGCATCACAGCCTCTTTCCCTTGGCTTAGTTCTCAGCATCTGGCTGGATCCTGAGCCCACTCATGAATTGTCTTGGGTGAGGTCAGCACTGGATCCCTGGACAGGGTAAATGTCCTTTTAAATTAAGTCAGCATCTACAGTATATGTAGCCACTGCCATTATTTTTTTTTTTTTTTTGGGGGTGGGGAGACCAAAATTCAATTGAATTGAATTGAAATTCAAGGTGTTGGTTGTCAACTTACCAGAAAGTACATCATGTGAAAACTCCGCTAAGTTTGTCTAGTCTTTTGATGTCTTTTGTATTCCTGAAAAAGCTGTTTGTAGAAAGGGAGAAATAAAAGTTTGCCCAAGGGGCGAAAATCCAGCCACAGATTGATTCAGCTTGAAAGAGTAATATGTGCTGTGTTTAATGGAAGCGCATTCATGGCGTCAGCGGACAAAAGATGCCATGTGTCGCACACAAGGACCATCGCCTGAGGAGTGCTGGAAGGAACAGGGCTTCAATCTGCACACACAAAAGATCTCATTTTCTTTGCAATTCATTTCTGTGTTGGGCCTAAAATAGACAATTAGGCAACACTGCTTTTTTGCAAAAAATTGCATGCTGGTTTTATACTTAGCCCTGTGGGGTAATAACGCCATTTATTATCCATCTATTCTATCAATCTAACTACTAAAAAATGGTAGTCTGATTTGTGGTTGTGTATTTTGTGGTTGTGTATTTTGTGGTTGTGTATTTTGTGGTTGTGTATTTTGTGGTTGTGTATTTTGTGGTTGTGTATGTGTGGTTGTGTATTTGTGGTTGTGTGTATTTGTGGTTGTGTGTATTTG